TGGATTAGTTTACAACGTTCGCCGATACAATTTGTAGTTTGCAGCTATATTAAACCACAATATACGATGCGGTTTGCGGTTTATGCTTAAAAAATGTTGTTCAAATTACTAATTCAAAATGTTTTTTATCGTTTGACTGCGAATATTTTGGACAACATTTGTTACTTTTTACTAGGGATGAGCATAGGCGGGTACCCGCCTCATTTGGCGAGAACCGGAACCGGAACCGGCAGTTCCTAGAAAGTTAGAACTAGAACCAGAACCGCTCTAGGCAGTTCTTGAATGTTTGGAACCAGTCCTAGAACCGACGGTTTCGGTTCCGGGAGCGGATAACCCGGTCAAATTATTTTTGTTAACTTTTTTCGATAAAACCACAATTTAGTTCGACCCAAATTAAATCAATTCGGACCAAAGACGGACAAATCTGACCAATATATTCTAAACCGGTCTAAGTAACACACATTTATATGAAATAATATATATATATATATATATATATATATATATATATATATATATATATATATATATATATATATATATATATATATATATATATATATATATATATATATATATATATATATAAACCGGTTCCGGCGGGTACCTAGTTGGTAGCGGTTCCGAAAAAACGAGAACCGGAACCGGAACCGCTTAAGGCTGTTCCAGTACAAAAAAGCGGCAGTTTCGAGGCAGTTCCGGTTCCAAAAGCGGGTACCCGGTTCCGATGCTCGTCTCTACTTTTTACTGATAAAAATAATTTACTTTTTAGATATTAAATAAAACACATCTAACTAATGTCATTCTTCGATATAAGTAATTAATTATAACCATCGTTTAACGTAGTTATTTAGTAATGCATATAAAACTATAGACAATATTTTTACATATTTATCAAACAATACCCAAAATAAAACCAAACCATATAACATGGCTTAAAACCTTCGCGGTGCGTTTTTACGGTCTCTAAAAACCTTGAACCACTCGTACCAGTGCAATTTGTGTTTTGACTTCAAACTTACTAGAGACACCACTAGTTGGAGATATTAAGTTCATCTTACAGGTGATGGGCTGAGCCGGGTCAAGTAGATGACCCATGAGCGTAACACTTTGGTTTCATGGTTTTAAAGCATCATTTTTACACCGACAATATAAGTTGCTTATTAAATTAGCATAACGGTATTAAACGTTGTCATCCCTCAATAAGATCCAAGGGATCAAGTCGTCTCGGGGACAAATATAATTTTAGGTGTAATATAAGATTATGTTATATTTGTTGTTCAAAAAAATTATATTTGAGGTGTAATATAAGATTATGTTATATTTGTTGTTCAAAAAAATTATATTTACTGTTTAGAATTCAAAATTTGTTCTACTTATACATATCATAGATGTTTTCTATAAAATTTGTATACTCGTTAATCAAAATATCAAATGTATGGAATATTGAAATAGAAAAGGGAATTGTTTGCAGAGCCAAGCCTTTTATAATAACTCTGTCATGGTACCCACTCTTTTAATGGTTCTTAGTATACAGTTTCTGCAGTCTCTATTATTTCACATGCACATACGATCTCCCAAATCAAGCTTTCTAATGTCTTTATCTTTTTTAATAGATTTCAAATTATCTTTATAACAGTTTTCGTCTTTACTTGTGTGCCGGGGAAATAAATAACGGATAACAAACTCTACCATTGGATCCGTTGTGATAAAATGAATAAACATTAGTTTCGATATTCAGACAAGTGGGTATAATTTAAGTGTTGAAACATTTGTACCATCTGGAGGATTTGATTAAGATTGCATGTGCAATCCAAAATATTTTGCATGTATATTTTAGCATTTAAATTGAAATAAAATAAAGTTGAATTAAATTCTCTTAAATTTAAAATTAGTTACCAAAAACAAAATTAGTTACCAAAAACAAGAAATATTCGATTTTTTATTTTTCTTATTAATGAAATAGAAAAAACATTTTTACCAAATTTTATTTAAAAACTAAAAAAAAAAATTTTTTTTTTTTCCTTAAAAAAATCAACTTTTTTTTTCCTTTTTTTTTTTTTTTTTTTTTTTTTTTTTTTTTTTTTTTTTTCAAAAAAATGAATATAAATCCAATCCCAAATAATATGCTTGTATTCACAAATGGAAATTTTCTTCAAAAAAACCTAGTACTACTCCAATTTCAAATGAATACATATCAATTTACAAATAATTCAATTCTTTTTTTTTTTCATTAAAAAATAAAAATAATATAAAAATTATCATTTCTTTTTAAAATGAATACCTTTAATCATAAATAAATAGTCATTCATACATGAATACACTACTATTCATAAATAAATAGTCATTCACATATGAATACACTGATATTCATAAATAAACACAAAATAAAAATTGTATAAAAATTATCATTTGTTCATAAAATGAATATCCCTAATCATAAATAAATACACTCATTAATCACACATGAATACCCGGTTGTTCATAAATAAATACAATCATTCACACATAAATACACTGATATTCACAAATGAATATAAGAAAAGAGTTGTTGCCCTCTCGGTTTCAGCCCTCAATTCGTCCCTTTTCTCATTCCTTTTTGTCAAGTATTACCACATCAAAAGCACCATTTTAATACTTAATTTGCTATGGAAATCAAAGACCAAGAACAACTACAAAAACATTAACTTTCTAGTCATTGTTACTTGTTGAATTTCGAGTAAATCAAAACCCAAGAAACCTCCATTGAACCCGCTTTTTGTTTTTGAAATTGATGAACTGATTTCTGCGCCTTTTTTCCCTTTCTTCTTCTTCGTTCCTTACCAAGAATAACCACCACAATGGGTTTGTGTTTCCGGCGAAATCAAATGAGGCAGCAACCTCTTGGCTTTTCCCCTCACCTGCACTATTGTGGCCGCTTGCCTGCCCCTCTCGGACCGGCCTCCTCCTTTCCCTTCGTATTGAACTCTTGGAGCAGAAGCAAAGCAGTTAGGAAATTGCTTGAGCATCCCGTCACTACCCCCTATAAGATCCACAATAGCTCTATTGCTTCCATACTTCTCCTTTATTTAATCGAACCGAGAACCGATGGTCTTTATTCCCCTCCTCTTTGCGATCAATCTGCCACCACTAGGCCATCATTTTTACCCTTTCTTCTTCTTCGTTCCCTGCCAAGAAAAACCATAAGGAGGGTTTGATTTAGACCATTATATAGTCGATGGTGCTCTTCTGGTTGTGTACAGATGACTGATGTGTGCCCTATATATATATATATATATATATATAATATATATATATATATATATATATATATATATATATATATATATATATATATATATATATATGTTCAGGTTCATTTTAGACCATTCTAATTTTATGAGACCGTGAGACCAAATCTAAAAATAATTTAAAAATGCAAAATAAATAGAAAAATCCAAAAATTCTTTTTTTTTTTAAATATTATTTTCGAAACTTGAATTAACTAAAAAAAATTAAAAAAATTAAAAAATAAATTAAAAAAATCCCTTTTTTTTAATTTTTAAAATACGTGAAATATTCTAATAGAATATTACACTGTATATATTCTAAAAAATAATTTTAAAATGAAAAAATAAATGGAAAAATCTAAAAATTCTTTTTTTAAATATTATTTTCGGAACTTGAATGAATTAAAAAAAAATCCCCCCTTTTTTTTTTTGAAAAATACGTGCATTATTCTAATAGAGTATTACACTGTACATATTCTAAAATATAATTTTAAAATGCAAAATAAATGGAAAATTCCAAAAATTCTTTTTTTAAATATTATTTTCGGAACTTGAATTAACTAAAAAAAATAAAAAATAAAAATAAAAAAAATGCGTCTCACGGTCTCACAAAATTAGGTTATCTCACATGGACCTAACCCTATATATATATATATATATATATATATATATATATATATAATATATATATATATATATATATATATATATATATATATATATATAGAGAGAGAGAGAGAGAGAGAGAGAGACTTAGGTCATTTTGTTTTTACTAACTATTGTGTGCCAGAATGCACAGATCTGGACCACCGGATGAATATAATCAATGATCATGATCTGAGGGTCTAGGATATTACAATAGAGTAGCATGTACCATATAATCACACAAATTTCAGCAAAAAGGTATTTTGGTCAATTAACCTATTTTAAAAAAGGTAATTTTTGGATTTTAAGGGATCATTAACACTCCTAATTTTAAAAATCTAAATTTTTTAAATTAATTCTAATTAATTCTAAACATAATTTGTAAACATAACTGATTTTATTCCGTCCTAATGGATTTTTGTTTGAATGATGTTCTTTCTGAGTTTTATTCTATTAGAATATTAATGAAGAATAACAAAATTCTTGAACTCCTAGTTGAAGAATAACAA